TTCTTACTCTTTTTCCTTGTGATTGATGATTTCTTTAGTATCATGCTTGACTTTCTTTATTTTTTGTGTATCTATTATAGGTTTTTGGTTTGTGGTTACCCATGAAGCTCATATAACATCCTAAATATACAGAAGTCCATATTCAGTTGATGGTCACTTAAATTTGAACATATTCTAAAGGAACTTTTTTTCACTACCTGCTCCATGTTTTCTGTATACATTGTCATATTTTACATTATTTTTATTTATAATTTTCTTCTAATTATGGTCTTTACTCTTGCACTTAAAGAAGTTCCTCGGGGTACCTGGTTGGCTCAGTCATTTAAGCCTTTGACTTTTGATTTCAGCTCAGGTCATGATCCTGGGGTCGTGGGATCAAACCCTGAATCAGGCTCCATGCTGAGCATGAAACCTGCTTAAGATTCTCTCTCCCCCTCTCTGCCCCCCCCCCCACCAAAAATGAAGTCCCATTAACATTTGTTATAAGTTCAGTTTAATGTTGATGAACTCATTTAACTTTTATTTAGGGAATTACCATTCAGAATTGAAGAGATCAGGAACCTTGCTGTTTAGAGTATTCTTGGTTTTAGGTTTTTATCTCTTGGCACTTTGAATCTATCATGCTACTCCCTTCTGGTCTGCAGAGTTTCTGCTAAAAAGACAGCTGATAGCCTCATGTAATTAACTGGTTGCTTCTCTCTTGTTGCTTTTTAAATTCTCTCTTTAATCCTTGACATTTTAATTATTATGTGTCATGATGTGACACATCATGGGTTTTTCTTGGGATCATCTTGTCCACAGCTCTCTGTGCTTCCTGAACCTAGATGTCTAGATTTTCCCCCAGGTTAGGGAAAGTTTTAAATTATTATTTCTTCAAACAAATTTCTGTCCGTTTCTCTCTTCTCTTCCTCTGGGACCCCTATTATGCAAATGTTTGTTTGCTTGATGTTGTCCAAGAGATTTTTTCATCTTTTTGAAAAATTCTTTTGCTTTTTGCTGTTCAGCTTAGGGGCTTGTCTTTATCCTGTTCTAGATCTGTAGTGAGGGCGACCAGAAGCCTCCTGATATATGCCATTCTGGGGCCATTTGGGCATGATGGCTGGGCTTGTGTGGGCTAGGGGCCTGAAACTCACTGAGGTGGAAGGCTCACTAGGGCACTAGAGCTTGAGCTTGCTCTCCATGCTACCAAGGTAGAAAGGGGTCGTGCATCATAACACATGCCAGCCCCTCCAACCTGGAGAGATTTCCAGCACGTGTCTTGCCATTTGTCAGGGTTCTAGGGCTGATTGCTTTATATTCTACTTGTGCTTTAAAACTGTATTTTTTCTGTGCTTCTGGGCAGTTGAATCTACCAAAGGTCCCTCCATAACTATTCCTCCCCACTTCAGTTTGCAGCATTGGGTATTCCCTTTATCATCATGTTATCATGTCTTGATCTATCTTTTGTTGTGCAAAAGCTGTTCAGTCCTCAGTTTCTCTTCAGGAGGAATTGCTTTATAGATAGGTATGGATTTGGTATGTCCATGGATGAGGTCAGTTCATGGCCTTCCTATGTTGCCATCTTGGACCAGAAGTCCCACCCACCCTGGCATCTTTCTGTCCCTATGCCAGGTCTCAGAGCCATACAGAGTCAGTGAGTGAAGCCAGCTAGGTGTGAGACAATAGGGAATGGTGGGGCATGTGGCTGACTAAGGATCATATGCTCTGTCTAAAAAAGGCAGCCACTGCTTGACTCTAGGCCATTTATATCAAGAAGTGCAGGTTTAGTGTTCCAGAATATCTTATTTTGCAAGAGAAATTGGAAAAATTGACTTTAAATGGACACTTCCTAGTTTTTACATATTTGACAAGTAATTAAAATTATTTTAAAACATGCCATGTGAGCCCAGTAAGAGGTCTGAGGCCTGGGGTCGGTGTTATGTCTGTACTTTCTCTCCCTCTCCACAATCTTGCCTACCCTACCTGCGTCATGTCTTGCCCTCACACCAAATGTTAATGTCTCAAAGAGTTAGAGCTCTAATCCTGGCCTGAATCCTGGATTTACATGACTAGTCATCTCCTTGGGGGATGTCTGCATACCTCAGATGCAAAGCCTCCCAGATCTGCACACTGTAAGGTCTTGAGAAATTCTGGTTTTCTTTCGTTCCCCCAAAATACTGCTATTAACTACTGTTACTATGATTAATATTACCAACAATCTATTGCCTTTCTTTTATTACTTATTTTTGCTATCCAATACCACCCCTCCATCAGACAGCCAGAATAGACCTTTGTGACCCTGAACTCCTGTTTACTCCATTTACTGCAAGACCAGCCAGTGTGAGTTTGGGTCCATTCTTCTTCCACAAGCCCTCTAGGACTTGCTCCTCATTTTTCCTTCCCACTAACCAGAGACCCTTCTAGTTTCTGAACTTGTCCAGTCTTTTCAGCTATTTTCTCAGCCTCTTAACTGTTCACCTACCATCTCTTACCTCTTTGTTGACTGATTCAGGACACTGGGGCTAGTGTCATCTCCCACCTCATAGGCCAGCTCTCATCACTCATCTCTCCATAGGATGTTGGTGGCTCCTATGGGCTGCCCCTCTCCCAGCTCCTCAACCATCCCAATGCACCAGTCATATTGTAGCATATCAGGTATTTCCATGCACCTGTGCTGGCTCCTGGGCACAACTGTCATCTTCTTTCATGCCTGTACTGCTTCTATTCATCCACTTCCTCTCCCATCAAATGCTCCCGCTTCCATAGGGTCATTACTTGCTTTCTCATGACCAGTCCCCTGTGCTACTCGCCCAACACTTCAAATCTCTGCCCCATTCTGCTCTTCTCATTCCACGCAGCTGTGCTTTCCCATAAAGTTTGTTGGCAAGTTCTTCCCCCTTCACTTGATCAGCCCCTTCATGGGGTGATCAGGTCTTTGTCATCTATATCCTCACAATGGCTAGTTCATTGCCTTGCAGACAGTAGACACCAGGTAAACCTTTGTAAATGGATGCCCCTTTTAAGTATAGAGTAGCTGTAGTAGCTAAAGGGCTCAGGACAAGATATTAAAAATTCAAAACAAAACTGCTTGGCTATTCAGGACTTCTCAGAACCTAAGAGAAAGTATCAAGCTAGTGAAAGGGTTATTCTGACTGTCTCCATTTCCAGGGATGCAGTTTTTAGAGGAAGAACAGCTTTGATTTGGTCTACTTTCCCTCATGGGGAAAGTGTCCCTTGGAAGTGTGGCTTCAATGCCAAGGGCAAAGAAGAATGGACAAAGTCTGTTGGACACTGGGCTTTTGCCACCCTGGCATTGAGAGCCATGCACTGTTCCTCTTGCTCAGAAGAACAAGTTGTACCCACACACTCACAAGATGCCCTCTGCTCTCATCATTGGCAGGCCTGAGAATTTCCCACACACCATCTAGGTCTGTTCTATCATCCTTGCAAATTAGCTTTTTGAATAGATGCCTACTCCATCAGGGATTGCATCCCATTGATGTTCCTACGGCAAGAACCTAGCCCTTTTTCTTGTGTATTTTCCCCTTCCTTTCCAAACGTACAGGCTGAGCCCCGAGAACCCAAGCAGCATAAAGACCTCACTCTTATAGAGCTATTTGTGAGACATGTACTTCCTAAATCCATGTTGACCACGGTATATGCCTGGAGTGCAAACTGCCCCCATTGAGTCATTGTCACTCTGAAAGCCCCCTTTTCTTTCGGATTCCCTCTCCAATCCAACCCCTTGCATTCATGGTCAGTAGGAGAGAGGAGAAGCTATTAAACCCCCTCAGCATCTGCATTTTTTTATTAGCTCCCTTGAAAAGGTTTTTAACATTTTAAGAGTTCTGTCCTGTCACATTGGCTTAGGGCTTTTTACAGCCTTCTCCTTCCATAGGATCACTTTTATTTGAAGCAACACTGGACACTGTGCAGCTTTGAAGGCCTGGCCGGGATGGCCACCTCCAACACTACCTTTTCATGTCTGTACACCTTCAACAAGATTGGCTTTTTATTTACTCTGGAAATTCCATTCTACAGCAAGTTCTGTGAATACAGCGTTACTTTTATCTTGTACTCATCACCCTTGGAAAGCAGTGTTTGAGGATGGTCTTAAATTGATATAAATTTTAAAACTTTTTAATCCAGGGCAATTTTTATTTTGAAAATGCAAAGTTATTTTAAGGGTCTTTAAAATTGGAAATTACATTTTGGTCCTGAAAAGTGAATTCTCCTGGACCAATCCTTGGTTAAGTAAGACAGGATCAGAACATCTTACTGGCCTTTTAGTCAAAGTAGATTTAGTTCCAGATACCTTGGTAGGGGCTCAGCCCCAGGGAAGCTTCCCAATTGGTATACAGAGGATCTATAGTGTATATATATATATACACACACACACACATTGCTTAAATGGTCCCAGTAGCAGGATTTTCAATTATTAAACATTTCAAAATGGGCAGGAGGAAAAGGAGCATCTTTGTTGCCTAAAGAAAAGTGGCCAACTTGGAGTTTGTTTTTTGTTTTACTCTCTCAAAGCTTCTTCCCACAGGTCTTCAAAAGAATGACTCTCCCTCTTCTCTCTGTGGTCTTATGAGAGAGCAGGAATCCTGGCCGACTGGTCAGCTCATTAGAAAAAATGGCGCAGCTGTTCTTAAAAGTAGCCCTATTCATAAGCTGTGGGCTGTCGACAACTGCAGTGTGGGAGAAGGGCACACTTTTTATAAAGAGTCTCTTTAAAAGGGAAAGAGAAATACATGGTTTTTACAGTAAAGAAAACTGGACCCTTCAGCTTTTAGTGGCCACGTCTGAAATGGAAGTGGCAAAGGCCATAAATACACACAAGCAATTGCGCCTTACAGGATGATTCATGTTGGCTGTCGTGCCCATAATGGAAAATTCAGCTCGTTAAGCAAGATTGGCCAGAAAGCCTTACATAGGCTCCTCTGCCAGAGCTGATGCCTCCCATCTTGTGACATCCTTGTATGTTATTGAATGATTGACTCTCTTTCTCCCCCTCTCAGTTCATGACGAAGAACCCCACCATGCGCCTGGGCAGCCTGACTCAGGGTGGTGAGCACGCCATCTTGAGACATCCTTTCTTTAAGGAAATCGACTGGGCCCAGCTGAACCATCGCCAAGTAGAACCACCTTTCAGACCCAGAATTGTAAGTGTCCAAGACCGGCAGAACAGACTTTCTTCAAATGTCTTTATGACTCTGTTGAGCAATGGGATGGTCCCCTATGGAATAATCAAACCAGAGGTTCAGCCTGACATTTTGCAGGGCAGCCTCACCCAGGAGGAGGTTCACCCTTGAAGCAGCATCTCTCTCTGCACAGGTCACTTCTCTGAAACTCTGCACCTCTTGCTTGCCCTGGACCCATCCTCTCTCAACTGAGGTTTACACTTCCTGGGGTCTAAGAGGCTTGAAGCTTTCCAGGTTTCCCAAACTAGTTGGACTGAGAAATTCATTTGTTCCTATACAGCCTCCTCCAGCTCCTTAGGGTGCATTTCCCAAGCCCTCAGAGGAGGAGAAAGGGTAGGTGAAGTGCTACCCACCTCACTGAACCTGGCTTCTTGTCTTGGAGAGCCTGGGTCTGTACCAGTTACCACAGCACAGAGCTCAAGCCTTTTGACTGGAGAAATGCTGGCAGCACCAGGGGTACCTTCCCAAGCAAGGCAACCAAGCCGGGTAGCGTTCCGGAGGGTGGTCTAGCTCTTGGTTGGAGAACTAAGCACTTTCTCATCTGTGGGTCAAGAGATAGAAGAGAAAGGCAGCATTTATGTTTTCAGCCTTGGTTTATAAAGATGTAAAATAATCAACATTTCTAGATGCACAGCCAGCTTAATCAGTAACAGTCCCTAAGATTGAACGGCAGATACCCAGCCATAAAACTACTTCCTTTAAAGGGCCTCTCCATGCCAGCTCCATGGGGATGAGGGAAGGCTTTGCCAGCAGGGCATCATGGATCCAACTGGTGAGTAAAGTGAGAGGCAGTGGTTTCCTAAACTCCGCACTTCCTTGTCTTTCAAGAAAATCTCTTCACACCTAAGGCCCTGTGTATAAACAATAGGTAGTGTGAACTTACACTCTGTTGACAACCAAGCATGCATGTCCCTCAGGAAGGCCTGTTGAGAAGCAGCACATTGGTGAAATACAGAATAAAGGGTGATGGAGACCACTGGATCAGGTGACCAAATTAACTGCTTTGCCCCTGAGCCTGAGGCCAATCTGCTCAGCAAGATTTTCTTGGGGTGGGTGAACTAGTGGTTACCGAATGCTATACCATACCCAGTGCCACAGAAAATATCGTGCTCTTTAGCCATAATTGTTAGCACTGTAAATAATGCTACTGAAAGAGTTGCAGCACCATTCTCTGACCTCCCTGGAATAGGCTCAGGCCCAGGGAAGATGAGGAAGTCTCGCATGCCTAAAAGAATGATAACTTGTTTCCTTTTCACAGAAATCCCGAGAAGATGTCAGTAATTTTGACCCTGACTTCATTAAGGAAGAGCCAGTATTAACCCCAATTGACGAGGGACATCTTCCTATGATTAACCAGGATGAATTTAGAAACTTTTCCTTTATGTCTCCAGAATTGCAACCTTAGCCTTATGGGGAATGAATCCCAAGGGGATACAGATTTCCCAGGAATTTCCTTCATGGGGCATTCCCTTGTGTCAGCCTTAGAACAAGAACCTTACCTTCAGAGAGCAGGTGGAAGACTCTGAAGGACAGAGCTTCAACTCTTTCACATCCTGAGGAAGCCATGGTACTGGAATGAGATTTCATGAAGAAAGATACTGCTCAACCTTTGAGTTTCCAAGGCTATTTTGGGCTTGGGATATTAAAAGGAACCAACAGAAGAGAAGGCATGGAGAAGCAACTGGATCCTAGAAATTGAGCCACAGCAGCTTTTTACTGCAAAAGACCAATCAAGACTTCCTGTGGCCCACTCTGTGCTCTCCATTAAGCCCAGGAGCCCCTAATACTAGCAGTGTGCCAGCAAGTCTGTAAATGCTAATCAAAAATTTGAAGATAAGGAAATGCATGGCTTTCCAAAGAGAATATTATTCTCTGAGGAAACAGAAGAGCATCCAACTTAAAGCCCTATCTTGAAAACGTATGTTGAAAACACCAAGATAACCATTCCAGCTTCTGGTCTTATATTTACTTTAATGGATATTTATTGAGTGCCCAGTGAGACAGTGCCCAGGACACTTGCTACAGTAAACCTACTTGTGTTCCCTGAACTTTCTTTCTTCAGTCCACTTCTTTACCTGAATGTTGTTTGCATTCTGTGAAATGCCACCTCCACATTGCATAGATCATGCTTCTTTGTCTGCACATAACTTTTTCCACGTAAGAGGGCTCACTGCCACCACAGCAACTATCTACATCCCCCACCACCAGCAGGTGAGGCAGACGTCCTTGCTGTCTGCTGACTTGTGAAATCTTACTGGGGACAATGTGTTGATACGGCTCTGAACTCAGTGAAGAATCGTACACCACTCATGTCAACGACCAGACTTAGGACTCCTACCTTAGCAGGTTATTTAAGTTATATTTTAAGAGACAAAAGTATTTGGTATGCATTTTATTAATTAGAAATGGCTCTTATAAAAAGGACGTTTATCAAAAAAAAAAAAAAGGACCTTATGTACTCTGTATATGCAGTTGGAGAATTTTGTCTGTCTGGAAATAAATGCATTTTGTAGCAAAAGGAAACTTTTGGTCTAGAAGGATTTGTCCCATGGCCACTAGGAGAGGAAATACCTTAATTAAAAGTTCTGAGCAGTATGGAAAGGGTCTTTAAAGCTAATACCTGAAAGGTTAGTATAACTTATGTGTCCCTGAAGTGGGCATACGCTATTACTGACCAAAGCTTCTGTTCTGAATCAGGGTAATACCTGCTAAGCATTATTGCAACATCTCAGTGCTTAGGCCTAATGTTTATGGGAATGAGAAATAAAGTTTAGTGCAAGTTCAATGGCCCTCTTCTAGCTTATAGATTATGCCATCTGGAAAGTATAGCAAGGAAGAAAGAGATGGAGGGGCGCACATCAAATGGCCCAGAACGTGGCCTCCCTCTACAAACAGGATGAGGAATTTCAGAGCAGATAAGGGGGAGCTAGCCAATATTGAAAATCTGTCCTGAGCTTTTTGTATTGCAAGCTAAAAAAAAAGACTTTTGAATCAACAGAGTCACTAGAAGCCTCCCTTTGCTTTTGTTTAGCACTGAGCAGTTCATAGGCACACTCAACTTACATAATCTCACTGCGTCTTCAGGTCATTCTACCACGGTTTCCCATGTGAATTCCATGGCACGTTTTATAAATGAGAAGAGAAAAGCTCAGAGAAGTTTAGTTGGTTTCCCAAAGGTTTCAGAATTGGCAAGGAATGCCTCTAGTCTACAGTCTAAATAAATCAAGTTCTAATCCAACAGACTAAGGGAAAGGGAGGGATTTTTCTATTTGCAGGGGTAGGGGAATGAGCTGCAACTTTCATGGCTACACTGCAGCTCAATCTTCTAGTACGGTGTGGCACTGATGAGCCACTGGACATAATCTTTTATCGGTGTGGAGTAAATCAACAATAAAGTACGCCTCCCATGTTTGCAAAATCCATTATAGCCCCACCCAGGACCCAGATTGTCCTCTTTAGTGACTCTAATCAACTCAGCAGCTCTTTTCTTCATAATCTAGTCACACTGCTACCTGTATTCCCCTAGTTTTGTTTAAGTCCATTCTTTTAATTCCAGGCCTCCCCATGGAATATCAACCTTCATGCTATCAGAGGATTACCAGTGCTTCTCCTCCTCCCTCTTTTCTGGGAGAGAAGAGTTTCAGTATATTTACCTAAAACACCAGGAGGCTGCAAGTCCAGGGTTAGGGCTCCCCTTCACATGTTAATTTGTTCTCCTAGATCTTGTCACACGGTCACCCGCCCATACTTCCTGCAATAGACTGGACACAAGCCACTTGATCAGCAGATGCTGAGTCTGCTGGCAATGCCAGGTTCCCCCAGCTCAGCTGATAGCATGGAGGTCAAGACAAGGTTACATTTACCCTTCCCTCCAGTTACCATCTTGCCTATTGGATAAGAAATCTTCCCCTCAGGCCTTATCACCCTCCTGTCCTCCCCAGCTTGTCCTCATCCCCATGTCCATCTGTGCTACTTTCCCAAGCTAGTCCCCGTTGAAGTAGACATGTGGCCTTGAGTCTTTAAAAGGAGATGAATGGGGCACCTGGGTGGCTCAGGTGGTTACACGTCCAATTTCGGCTCAGGTCATGATCTCATGGTTCATGGGTTTGAGCCCTGCATCAGGCTCTGTGCTGACAGCTCAGAGCCTGGAGCCTGTTTCTGATTCTGTGTCCCCCTCTCTCTCTGACCCTCCCCTGCTCACACTGTTTCTCTCTCTCTCTCTCTCTCTGAGAAATAAAAACATTAAAAAAATAAAAGTAGATGAACTACAAGCATTTGCTTTGAGATGTTGATCAGCTTTGACTGCAGAAGATGTTTTTGCTTAATAAGGACTAACGTTTAGTTCCTATTTATTCTGCGTGAGGCCCTGTTCCAAGAACTTTAAGTGCATTCACTCATTCAGTAGCCCAAGCGGTTGGGCACTCTGTATGGTACAACTAGGGAAATTGAGGCAGAGAGAGATTAGGGAATTTGTCCCAAGTCCCACAGCTAAAGCATCCCTAGTTTTAGTCAAACTGGTCAATGTCTTATGTTAAGCACAATTTTAATTTTCCTACTTTTTGAGGTTTTGAAAATAAGGTGTAAACCAGAATTAGCAGGGAGCCCTAGATAAAATGCCAGCTGGGCAGGACAATATTAGTCATCCTGTCTGCAGAACCACTTATCAGCAGGGAGATTGTATGATTTGCATGTAAAGGGCCTGGAACCGCTAATCCCCCCTCACAGGGACTGGGGCAGGCCAGGGTGATGCAATCAGGGTCTGGGTTGGGCCTCCCTGCGAAGGAGGAAATAGTCTGAGTCATACTGAACCTTATAAACCGCATCTGAACCTCTAGGGAACCTCTGACCCTTGGTGGGGCTTCTAGTGCTTTCCTTACCGCCTTTCCTCTACCCCAGAGGCACCTCTCTTGTTTCAGTAACATCTCGCCCCCACTGCCACCCCCTACCCCCTCATCCCCCTCCCCCCCCCCCCCCCCCCCCCCCCCGCCATGGCAGCACTAAGAAGGCTTGTAGAGTGGGACCTACCTTGGCAGCTGCTACTGCTACAGAGCTGATAGAACTTAGTGGCAAAGAAAAAAAGTTATCATTTATTGATCTTAATTGAGTGTATGTTGCCTTGAAAATGTGTCAGCCACAGATGATTTGGCCTTGCCCCTACTATGGGTCAACACCATAAAACTTGGTAATCTTTATTCCCAGATTTGGTCACCCTGATTGCTTAATCGGGCTGTATTGACTTAAAATGAAAATGCCCTTGGTGGCGAGTCGGTGGGTCCTATACCTTATGTTACATCATCTGAGGCTAAGACTCAGGTACAGCCTGAGCGTTTGCAGTAGAAATGAACCCTGTGGTCACATGTTCTTCTGAACAGAGTTGCAGGCTGGACACAGTGGACCAGAGTGCAGCTATGGAGGGAGCTTTGCAGTCTCCCTTCCTTCCTGTGCTCAAACAGAACCAAAACTACGATTGCCACCCTCAGCTTCCTCCTGCCCCAGCCCCCCTTCCCCATCACATCCTCTCCCGTCAGGTGTTCTTCCTCTCTCCTGCCCCCTTCCTGGCTCACCCTAGGGAGAAAATCAGTTCTGCGCACTCTCCCTTCCTCTAGCATTTGATTTTTTTCAGAGTTCGACAACCACCAAGACTACAGAAAATTGATTTGCACATCTTTTTTTTTTTTTTAATGTTTTATTTATTTCTAGGAGAGAGAGAGAGAGAGACAACGTGAGCAGGGAAGGGTCAGAGAGAGAGGGAGTCACAGACTGAACCAGGCTCCAGGCTCTGAGCTGGCAGTCAGCACAGAGCCCGACGCGGGGCTCGAACCCACGAACCGCGAGATCATGACCTAAGCGAAAGTCGGACCCTTAACCGACTGAGCCACCCAGGCACCCCTGATTTGCACATTTCTTTGAGAGCCCAGCAACGGCCTTTACCTTTGTATTTCTCCCATGCATTTCTGCATCTTTAGCATCACGCTGTCAGCTCTTGCCTGGCACAGGGATCCTCAGAGAGCAATCCTGCCTACTCCCAGGGGTTCACGGTACTGACCTAAGTACAGAGCAGACCTCTGCACTGGATTTGCCAGAGGATTTTCCGGAGGTCTCCGTGTTCTCGTTTGTGAAATGGAAGAGTAAGTAACACATGCCTGCCTTGAATTCTGACTGCAGAAATTAGCGGTGATATATCTATGTCAAGGACTTAACGCAGGACCAGGACCTACAACATGCTCAGTCAATATTAGCAATTATTGTCAGCTGTTCCAAAAGACCAAAGGAAGGTTGCATGGGGGGTCTACCACAAAATGGGCAGAATGGGACACCGATGTTCTTCATGCAGCCCAACCCCCCTGCCCCCCACCTTGACAGGGATGCTGGGCCACCTCTAAGTTGGAGGGGTTTTACTTTTCTGACTCACTGGCTGCAGAGATTTCTCAGGAGACTCTTTTAAAAACTTCTTTTAGGCTGTTTTGATTTCATCCTGCCCTGATTAGCATGCAGGATCACACTTGAAACTGTGCTGCACCCTCAAAACAGAGGCTAAGATATATCCATCCTTTTCCTTCAAGTAGCTTTTCCCTCGAGCCTTTCAGGAATTCTTTTGTTCTCCCAGATTTAACCTGAAGGCACATTTAACTCCCTTCTGACCAGATAACAGAGACCATAGCCCAACACCAGTACCAGCTGGTCACCCTCTAGACACTCAACACACCTGTGGACCAGTTCAGAGAAAAGAGGAGGTATGCTCAAGATGTTCCCTGGACCCTGGCATCCCTTAGGGTTTGAAGCCACTAGAACCAAGGGATTTGTCTTCCTGCATTAAGAGAGCTGTCAAGATGATTTCTAATATAATGAGAAACCCGAAGTCCTGTGTATTCTTATTAGAAACTGGGCAATACAGCCCTGTCCTCATACAATACCCTTCCACACCACCCCGGGCTGCCTTTCTCATGCCACCAAGGCAGTCGTAATGCCACAGAGGTTTCATTCTTTTAAGGGCTTGGACCATAGCTAGAAGAATTCCAGCTAGACAGAGTGAAGATTGTGTAGGCACTGAGTATAGTCAAACATTCAAGTGGGTTGCAGAGATTGAGACAGGAATTTTCTCTGGAGACATTTCAAATTAGTTATTTGATCTGAAAGGGCCAGTCATAATCTAGAGGATACCTCAAGTACTTGTGTTCTCAAGACTAAAGGTTGAGCAGAGGGATATGGTTGATCAGCCTCTACCAGTGGAGTTCAGCGCCACATTTCTCTTGCCTCACACCAAACTCCATCACTCAGATTGCCTCCCTGTCCATCTCTGTGCCACTTTCACACCCTAGCACACCCATACACCCTCTCCCAAATTCCCTTTAGGCTCCTACAGATCACTTGCCCCTAGAATCACATACCAGTTTCTCATACTTATTCATACATGGACAGGAAAAATGGCTTTCTAAAGATCAGCACAAGATCCAGAAGATAAGCCTCCTTCTAGAAACTGGTAACAGCACAATGAAAGAAGATTTCTCAGCTCTTCTACTTTT